CCTGCTCTGTTGATGTTACCACATTTGCTGCTGAAACTTCTGGGGTCTTTGGTGTTTACAGAGATGGGTACGTGGCTGCTCCTGTGTGGCTTCAGTCTGAAACATTGACAAGGGGAACGTCATTCTAAAGTTAACCTTAAGTGATATACAGAAACATACATTGATGACTTCAGCAGAAGAACTTTACAAGCTTCAAAGAAAACTTCACTAGTTCTCTTTCCTAAATAAAAAATAATCTGAAAACTTGTTTTCATCCTTCACCTTTGGATTGTATGTATCTCTTCCTTGACAGCTGCTAATAGCTATTAACTATTAAACTCCTAGAAGAGTGCACATCGATGCTATTATCTTAAGATGCCAAAACAACACTGATATACAAATGGGTCAATTTGCACCAAAATTGTTTGACAGGGTCTCAGTGGACCATATAAATCAACTCGTTTGTGATTAATTGCTTGAGCACAGGGAATCTTATGCAGACTTGAATTACCAATTCTCGCTGATTCTTCTGTCAGCAGCAGCCCTCCACCCACTTGTTCCTTCTGCACTTGTGCCAGCAGCACTCACCTCCATCCCAGAAAAGATTCTTGTAACTGGACTTAAAATGCATAAAGAGAAGTAACGCTGGAAAGCGAACAGTGCGGGGTTCCTGTGCTGAGGGGCTGAATTGGGAAGAGGGTTTTTTGGTTAGCTGCAAAACCCGAGTCGTCTGTCACTAAGATGAGTGTTGTGTTGGGTTGGCACTGCCAGAGCTGCCCGCTACGCCTCCGTGTCCTGAGGCAGTGAGCGCACCGAGGAGGGAGAGGACAGTCATATTCTTTGTGTTGGTGGAACAGCACCAACCCGTGACCTTTAAACAGAGATGTTGGCTCCGGTGCTAATTAAATGCTTTGCAGTGACAGCTGGACAGCAACAGTTGCCAGGCAAGCTGGGCTCCTGCTCATCTCTGCTCTGCTATCCTGGCAGCAGCAAGCAAATTATTGCATGAATGGGAATGCTTCCTCCTCTGCTTCCATTAAAGCTGCCATGCAATCCACCTGGGGCTAGTCATTTGATTTGTTTCACACCTTGTGTCATGGGGAGAAATAGCTCTGGGCCCTTTTTTATTTTTTTTTCCTTTGTGCATGTTACTTTGAACCAATATTGAGATAAAACTGCATTCTTCCACCCAATAGGAGCGGTCGGTGCTAGGAGGCTCCTGAGCTGTTTGTGTGCTCTGTACAGGTGGCAGAGGACTAGTTCAGGGTGTGTTGGCGGTATCTGAGCTGTTTGGTAAAGAATCTCAGCTTTCATCAGGATGTGAGTTTGTGCCAGGAAGTTGTCATAAAGTGAGTAGTTAAAATTATTGATTGTTGGACTCAACGTTCAGTCTTCTGTACCAAGTCAATTTGAAGGCTTCTGTTTGTTTTGGCTAGGTCTAATCTGGTCAAGGCATCTCACATCTTCTCAAAGAAGAAACCCTTGAAATCCCTGTGCTTTGTGTAAAGGTTAGGTGAAAACAAAGCGTATGCAAATGCATTGTTGGTGTGTCATCCAGCGTCAATAACCGCATCACTATGTCCTGAAACTGTGTCATGTAGTCTCTAAATAGCATGGTCATGCTTACTTGGCTTGTTTTGATAACATCTGGATTATAAAACTGGTGCCTGCTTGCAGTAGGCACTTGGGTAAGTATTAGTAACCACCACTTAAGAGAAAAATGACTCTTTAACCAGGACTGCTTTCTGTTACAGCGACAGCTAAGGGCCAAGGCTAAGAAGGCCCTGGAACAGTTAACAGTGCGCACCCTGAAGCAAGGGGACGAGGTATGACTGATCCTATAATCTCCCAAGAGTTATGGCACACCCTGTGCATAGAACCCAGAGAGTGGGAGTGCTGGAGCAGGATGCAGAAGTCTCTCTGAGCCCATAACTATCTGTTGCAGAGATGGTTCCTCTTTTGACCAGGTCCTTTTCCAGTGTGCAAGACTTTCTACTTTGTACGTTCTTAGCCATCAGATTTATTTTTTTTAGTTGCTTGCTTGTAGTCTTGCTGAAGTAAGAGGTCCTAATTTGCCAGCATGGATGTTTAAAGGTAAACTAGTACATCTAATCAGCTTCCCTGGCTATTCTTTTTGTAACTAAAACTGGAGGTAACAGTTTCTAAACCTCTACAGCAGTGCCTCAAATAATCCAATGATGGTTTGCAGATGGATTTCTAAATAATGGGATTAAACTTTCAATGCTTCTGTTAAAGTGTCAGCTTGACTATGAGTAATCCACACAATGTTTTTGTATAAGATTATATACGGGAGCTATTTTAGATTACTTCATCTAGACCCGTTTGTCTGCAGTAAATCTGACTGTAGTTCAAAGGAAGCTTTCAAAGTCTGTTAACACTGTAAATTCATTTTACAACTTTAGGAAACTGGTCCTGATGCAGATGTCTGCGTTGTGTGCATTGATCTGTACAAGCCGAATGAAGTAGTGCGTATTCTGACTTGCAAGTAAGTTGTCTTCCAAACTGCCCCTTAATCCCAAATCTGGAAGCATGCCTTTTACTGGTTGTTCCTTCTGCTATGTCAACAAAGCTGATCAAACTTTAGTCAAGCTGTTGCACAGCAAGAGTTCTTGAATCCCTGACAAAGAGTGTTTTGAACAACAGGAACTGTGTAAATAGACACTTGTAGTGTGTGCTGATGGCCTCAAGAACACTTCCCCTGTGAGTAGATTGACAAGTATAACTTAGCAGACCACAGTGCCTCTCCAGGGGATGCCAGGGCTTTTTAAAGATTTTTTTTTTTTTTTTTTTCCCTTTGCTGGTGTGTAAGAATATTACCTCTAAATGGCAGATAACTGGCACAACTATGCCCATTTCTTGTCTCTTAGTTTACTGGTTAAGATGGTTGTGCTTCTGCTGAACTTGTTAAACCATGCTAACTTCTGTGGAGAAAGCATTTCTGTTCTTGTATGCATCATCTGAAATAGAGACCAAACAGAGCTATAGCAGTTTATTTTTCTAGAATTCTCTACTGTTGTGTCTCATTGCTGTGCTTCTGTGGAAGCATGGTATTGTAGCACTAAGACTTTCATTTGATTGCCTCTAAGATGAGCAATGAAGCCTTTTCAGGGCTTAAGGAAACTTGTTCTGTGGAACTTCCCCCTGTTCCTCTGAACAGGGCTGCTCTGGCAAAGCTTCCAAAAATCAGTGCAATGTGAACTGCACAAATTTTGATGTGAAGTCGTTTTTGTAACCCTTGGGGAGGGTTACAAAAAAGCACTTGGAAAAATTTTGATGTAGGAAAAAATCAAATTCTGAAGAATGGAAAAATCTGTAGCCACTGTTGCGTGCCAAACGCTATCAAACCTGAGCTGGGGTTACCTTTGCACAAGGTTACAGTTTCACAGAAGTTTTCTCTGCTCCCAAGCAGTAGGACTTCTAAGCTGTTTTGATATTGCAAAGTTGCCCTGTTAAGGTGTTGTCAACAAACTTAATAGCTTAAAAAACCACAAAAATGAATAACCTTTTAGGCACGTGTGTTCATGATTATTCAGTTGTTTTGTCAGGTTTATGCTCGTGGGTAGTCCTGTTTAGTAATGAAGTCCCATGGGTACAGAAGCATTTAGATGGGCTCTAGATACTTTTGGCTGATGGGGAAATAATGAGAAGTCGGGTCTCCTATAAACCCTGCTAATCTTGATAGGAACTTGCAAACAAAGCACGGCTTACTGGGTTAAGAGGCGAGTAACTTCTTTTGAATGTATTTACACATAAATTTGCTGTGCTATGCTTTGCTCTGAGAGTGCTTTTACATACATTTGTGATATTTCATTCCTCTTTGGCCCAAATGTAGATCCAAGAGACACTACCTTAAGATGACTGCATTTACTTTATAATCTTCTCCAGTGGTTATCTCTGCCAGTATCAGCCATATTAAATTCTCTCTCACATGAGTTATAAACTGATATTTACTGCAAGAACGTACTTGATGTTGGTGTTTGACCTCAACACTGAGACCCTACTTGTTGAAAGCATTTAACTATGTCCATGAAGGAAACAAGCAATCGAACGCTCCTGTGAGTCACATCAGTGGTATCTAAGTATCTGGGGTGTGTGTATTTGCAGAAGTTGTTCTTGTCCAGATAGTCAAACTGAAGGAATTTATAGTAGCAGAGGTACACAAGACCAGTATTAAGTCCAAGTACTTAAAATAGTAATGCCTCAAGGAAGTTTCAGGTTGTACTCTAGACATTACGTGGGTGCAGCTGGAAGGAGGTGCTGGTTATGTGGGCCCAATTGGAGAATCCTGGTATCATACTGGGGCGTAGGATACTGAGCACTGGATGTGGTGATCTCTGCACTTGTCTCATAATAGAGTTCTGATTAATATTGAGCAGTGCCTGTCTACCTTGCTATTTCTATTCAGGCTGAGGAAACAGGCAGATTAGAGGATTTCAAGTCATCCTCCTAAATCTGTGGCCTAATTCAGACCCATTGTAAAATTGAGTGTCTTCATAAAGCACAAATTTGCATCTGTAATGGCTGAACTATATTTACTTTCTTGAGTACGCAGCCTGCCAAATATCCCCTTGGAATACACAGTGATTGCATAGACAAAGTAAATGTGTGGGAGTATAGTTTATCTTGAAGGCATAACTCTGAGATGATTTTTCTATGTAGTTTTAAGAGAAGCAAGTGCTATTTAGTCATCTGCATCTGCAAGACAGAAGTTAACCTTAAAGCTAAGGCTGAGATGTCAATAATAGTTAAATTATCAGCTGGGAATGTATTGTACACAGATTAAAAATAAAAAAGCTTGACTGATGCAACAAAGATGATAATGCTGAATTCTAGCAAGTTGTATAGATACTAATAAGCGTAAGTCAGCTACAGGTTGAGAGATCAGCTTTCCGTAGCTTTCAACGGAAACTTCTGGCAAAATAAGGTAATCCATTCTAGAACAAATAAGTTCTCAGTGTTTCTAAATGGGCCTTCATAGCTGCCACGTAAACAGTTTTCCTGATGTTAGAAATCTAACTTGTTTATAACCTTCTTCCACCAGCCACATCTTCCACAAGAAGTGTGTTGACCCCTGGCTTCTGGAACACAGGACATGTCCAATGTGCAAATGTGACATACTTAAAGTTTTGGGCATCGAGGTAAGCCAGTGGCTCTGTCTTAGTGGCAGATGCCATCATCAGTATAACGCTACTGTAGTTGCCACATATTGAGCTATTTTATGCCACCTCCAGAGTGCAGATGATAAGCACAGGCATTGCCATGTCAGTGGCAAGATGCTGCAGGACTAATTGCAAAGCCTGCAGCTGACCTGGCCTGAGTTGGTATGATTAAAAGCCTTGAGCAGAATGTCAGCAAAAATTGATTGTAATGCCTGACTGAATAATTGCTCTTGTGCTTGCAGCTAAGGCTGTTCCTCAAAGCTTCAGGCAGACTTTAACAACTCATACTGTCCCTGAAACCAGCCTCTATTCAGTTACAAAGTACCCGGAATACATGAAAAGTGAATGTGTTGGCATGCATGGCTTTCCTGGAGCCATATGACTTCCTAGGATACATAAAGAATTTCTGATGTTTTCTGCAACGGCTCGCTGTGGCAAGTGCCAGGGCAAGATGCTGTTGCTAGTGCCTGATACTGCCTGGACCAGCTAAAAATGTATGCCAGAGTTTGTCTGGAGGAGGGAGATCTGTACTGAGTGGAAGGAGGAATGTATTTTCCTGTTACTGGGCAGTAAAAGGGAAGAGCTGGCTGAAGAATGCAGAAGCTGCATCTGAACTTCCTACTCTATTAGACAGTAACTGGTTTTCACCTATGATGCTGGAGGTTAACAGCAGAGCTTTTGTGCAATTTTAATTTTTTTTTTTCTAGGTAAAAGTTCACTAGACTGCAGTCCTTGCAGGTATTGGCCTCCTGGAAAGCTTCAGCCTCCTCCAAAGTTGTAACTTAACCATTTTCTCTTTTTTCATGCAGATGAATGTAGAAGAAAGACCTGAGCTTGTGCAGGCAGAGTCTGTGCAAGCCACAGTATCCAGTGGGACAGCAAATGTCTCTATAGTTAATGAAGAGGACAATCATAGTGAAACGGCATCATCTGGATATGCTTCTGTCCAAGCAGCAGATGAGCCTGTTCCGAAGGAACCCACACCAACACCAAGTGCGTCTACTCTTTCATCTATCTTGCCAGATTGCCTTGCACTTTGTTGCTTATGCTGTGAATTAGGGGAGTTTGCCTTAATAATATCTCACAGTGCTGGAACACCTTGTTTTTTCAGGGTGATCTTAATCTTCCCTTTTGTTTTAGCACTTGCCTCTGACACTTGGTCTTTATTTTCAAATGAAATGCAACCTAAGTGTGAGTTAAAAACTGAACTCTATGAAAAGAGTAGTTGAAAAATGAGAGGCTTACTACTTAAAGGCCAAAGATATTTTACTGAAGATGTCCCTCATCTCGTTGTCTCTTTGGAGATTTCATTTGGATGAGTGAGTGTTGCTTTGCCACCTGATCTGTCTGCTTTAAGTAGTTAATTACTTTCAGAAAACTTCTGGGGGTTAGTCCTGCTCTAGCTTAGTTGATGCAAAATAGAGATGACAAATACTTGAATTGAACTTCAGATTTTGCCAAGGCTGAGTCGTCTTTGCAAATTTTCAGAGAATTTTAATCGGAAAAGACTATCAGCTTTTCCAAATACCTTATCTTTTTGAACAAGAGCAAACTAATTGAAAATGTCTTTAGTGCTCAACTTTGCCAACATAATGCTTGGTGTTGCTGTTGACTTTAAAAATGGAAAGGTTACAGGTAAATGAAAAAATGAAAGTTAACTATCCCCTGGATTGTGGAATGGCCTCAGGAAGAGGAGTAAGTGGGGAAGCTTTCAGAGGCAAAAGGGGTGCTTTAGCCATGCCTGCTTAGATTTCCTGTGGGAAGCCTAGCTGCTAGGAAAGTGTGGGATTTGCTGCCTGCCTCCTGTGGGACATGTTGCTCCAGCGAGTGACATGTGTATGGGAGCGCCCTGTTTAGGCACTCCAATAGAGCAGAGGGCACTTCCTGTAAGCTAAACATCAGAAGTTGAAATTACATCCCTATAAGCAACTGAAGTGATTCTGGATTAGTTATAGGGCTCAGGCCCCTGTGTATTCTCACTTTGAGTGGCGAGGGCACACACTAACATCAGCCTAGCAAGGTTAGTATGGAGGGAGAAGGCCTTCCTCTCTGAATCAGCCTGTGTCCTACAGTTTATCCTGAACCTAGTCTCTAGAAGTTGCTCCTGGTGCCTGTCTTCAGCAGCCCTAAAGTTATATGAGAATTGCCGATCTCATTACAGTTGAATTTCGTAGCCTCACATTAGTGAGAAGTGAACTCTGGAGCCAAGCAGATACCTCTAGCAATGGCAGGTAGTGTCAAGAATGGGCTCACAAAACTAATGAGGGAGCGGTAGTTGGAGCACGGCCTTGGATTTCTCACTCTGCAGGGGAAGTGCTGGGAAAAGACCACAGCAGTGGGCTTGTGGGGAAAAAAAGCAACTGTGGTTTGCTTTAAGGTAGTAAAGATTGCCTATGACGCTTCTTAATTTTGTGTTTTCTTGGTTTTTGTTCTGAACAGATGACAACATGCATCTTATAAGCAATGAATTTCAGCCCTCTGCTGTGAATGAGCTTCCACACATTGACAACCCAAGTTTCGAAGCGGAAGCAGATGAAATATAAATTTGTGAAATCGGGATCTAAAAAGATGCCCAGCAACATGGTGTAAGCCTTCTGCGAGGAGCTGCCTACTGCTGTCATGTGTACCCCAAACGTTGGAAGACTGTAGCAGAAAAATACTGCCTTAGCAATTCTAATATAAAATAGACTTGTTCAAATCATAATTGTATGGTTTGCAATTATTAAAACTGCATCTTCCATGTGGAATTTCGTTTTAGCACTCTTCAGATAAAGAAAAACATCTTATTTTAACACTAAAACAAAAGTTCCATCTTCAGCAAAGCTTCTCTTCAGTGTTTGAGTCATTTAAATAAGGAGAAGATTCTTTGTCATAGCTGTCTTTACTGGGAATTGTTTTGACTTGTGTTTTTTGTTGTTTATTGTTTTAATTCAAGTGGATTTTCATTGTTAAAAAAAAAAAAAATTTTTTTTGATCTGGTCTAATACTTATTTACCAGGCAGTTTAGTTTAAAGCAGCACTGTATTTAATATTTCAGTGCACTAATTTGATAGGAGAAAGTACAAACTAATGCCTGTCAAACTGGATTTTGTCCTGGATTTTGTCCACAGTGTCTTTGGTTCTCTAGTAAACAGATTGATTCTCTACCTCCCAGCTCCCAGCCTGCCAACCAGACATTCCTAAAGGGAAAAAGAGCTTCAAGCTGACAGGCCAAATCTGACTTGCACAATACTGTAAAGGGAAAAATTGTAGGAACTTTTCAAACCTGTTAATATTAGACAGTCTGAAAGATCCTCCATGATTTTTGGAGTTATAACCATCTCTAGAACCACCAGTATGCCAGAGTCCTGCCTTTGTGAGAGTCTGGGATGACTTCAGGAAGACTGAATTAAAGATGAAAAGATAGATTCTTCCCAAAAGATCTGCTGTGTTGTTCAGAAAATGATCCGGCCTCTGAAAAATGCTGGACTGTTGCTGTGCATTCTCTTGCCAGTGTGCTAAAGCTGCAGAGAGAGCTGGCGTCCTCCAATCATCTGTTATGTTTACAGAAGTTGTCTGCCGTCTGTGGGGGGCTGAACTGGGGTTGAGGAGGAGCTCTGGGTGCCTCAGTAGTACGTGTAGGGCCTTGCCCAGCAAAGGTGACTAAGGACATCTTGCAGATGCACTTTATTTTTTTATCTCTGTATCTACAGCTTGTTTCTAATGTTACCAGAACTTTGTCTTAAAGCCTGCAACAAAGTACTATTAAAGCTGGAGAGGAAAAGCAATGCATTTTCTTAGCTATAGTACAATTAAAATTGTTGTAAATATTAAATTATTTGTATTGAATTTGAATATGAAAATGTAAATAAAACTATATTTTGATGACCCTGGCGGACATTAAATGTCAATTACCAGCTCTTATATGGAAGCAGATGCTGAATTTGCTCTGTCCCACAACTGCAAAACTCACTCAGTTTTGGGAGGCCAAAAAGCAGCAGTACGTGCTCAAACTAATTAGAATAAGGACTGCTAATTACGTGCAGGGTGCTACTGTTAACATGGATTGAAATTGTGTTGAGAGGCTTAAGCCTAGTTATGCCTTGTAGCTGTACTCTATATAGAAGAAAACCCAAGTGGCTTAGGGTATGTTCAGTGAGCTGCTTGACATACCTCTGAACTGTTCTTCTAGGCATGTTTGGCACAAGGCAATCTCTTCAGATCAGACAGGTTTCTTCTTGCTTTCCTCTGTCATGTTGCTCAGCATCCCTCCTTTACTCAGCAGTTTATGCTTGCTTTGTAAAACAAAGCATTTTAAAACCAATTAAATGCCCTTTGTTCTGTATTATGCTATCAGATGTAGTAAAAACTTGTCACTCCCCTGGCCAGCTTGGTAGTGGTTAGCCTTGTGCTTCTTTTTAGCTCAGTTCCAAGTCTAGTCTAAGCAGCATCGGTTGGTTATGGGCTCAAATTGCAAAGCTGAGTATGATCAGACTTCACTCTGAAGCTGTATTTTGCTGTGATCACCTTTCTATTCTACATCTGAAGTGCAGGGCAGAGAAAGGAACTGCCAAGCAGTAAATATACAACCCCTGAACACTTCATTCCATTTTAATTTCAAAAAGCTTTTATAAATTTATTGTGGTGTATAAGCTGTAACGTAGTAGAATTTCATGATGATATGCTCTCATGAAATCATCTGCCAGTTCTCTGTGTTTAAGAGGAACAAGATTTGACCATCAAAGAAAGGGGGGGATTCAGATCAATTCAATACAATGAAAGGCATTTTGGCTTTTTTTTTTGTTGTTCCAATCTATACATTTGGGTTTCTTTGTTTATAGGATTCAAGCCTTACTATTTACTGTCTTTTAAAAGCAATAAACCTGCTTTTTTTTCCCCAGGATTTGTATTTCTAAGGACAAGGTGAGTGCCCAGCATTTTCTCAAGGAATGCACTAGTGGAATACTGGGGGATGCAGCAGTTCATGTCACTGAACTCGCACTACTATAGAATCAGATGCTATGTATGTGTTCTGTCAAGATGTGGGCTTGCTTGGAGCTCAAGGCACACATACTAATTTTCAGGAAGATTTTTTAAGATTCTTATATCTAGTGTGAAGTACTGCTAAAGGAAAATAAATAACAGTGTTTGTACCTGAACAGTTTTTGAGCTACTGCTAGACAAAAGAATTTAATGCTTCTCTGGTTTTGCAGTTCAACCTCTGATCTGCCATGTATCTGTGTGTGCACATTTATTTGTAAATATTAGCTATGCAAGGGTGTTTATTTAAAAATGAAAGCGTGCAAATTTCATGTATGCGGTCTATGATACTGAACTTGGGTCTGTTGCTGTCTGACTTTTGGAAAAAACCCACTGTCGTATTTCACTGAACTCTGCAGAGGTTTTCCCCTTTGAGAACACTGCTACAGTACTACCTGCTTTAAAGAAATTTCAAAGCTCCACTCTCACTTTGCATTTTGTATTTCCACGGATAGCAGCTGTCGTCAGCTGACCCTGCTTAGAGCACTGTGCAGCAGTTTGGGTTTGGTTTGGTTTTTTGGTGATGCTGTGGGCTTGAATGGCTCTATTCTGTATACGTGTATATATATGTGCGCTGTGGCATGATAGACTCTTTCCTCTGAGCAAGGGGCAAACAAGAGCGTGCCTGGGGATAGGGCTGTTTCTGAAATGCAATGCAAGCTTGCTGTTATTGTGCAATAGTCTTGGGTTTTGCTATCTATACGCTTATGTTTGCATGTAAGGTAATGGAAATTACGTGCCCACAAGTGGTAACAGTTGCTAAAATGTGTGCCTATTAATTCTGTTAATATTCCCACTGAGTTACACAGACATGTCAATTATTCTCCCCCCAAAGAGAAATCAGAACAGGCTACAGCATTATCTCCAAGTGTTTACTTACTGCTGTCATTTCCCTCACCCCCAGGAAAGCTCTGATCTAGACACTTCACTCAAATGCTTGTAGGCTCCTGAAGGGGGTCTGGGAAAGATTTTTGTTTATCCCTGCAGGAGAGGAAGCCTTGTCACCTGGTGCGGGATTACTGTGCTTTCTTGTCAACCAGGCTTTACAGCAGCAGGATTTTATTTTAAAACCCAAACCAAAATAACACAATTTTCTCATATTGAGGAAAACTTTCAGGTGTCCCAGTAGACATGTAGTCATAGCTGAGATTTTTGCTTAAAGGAAAAGCAGGACTTGTGATGAGGGGCTGCAAACGTATAAAAGCAGTTTGAATCAAAAGGGCAGTTGGACTCTTCCCATAAAATGGAGAGACTTAGTCCATCTCGGTCATTAGGTGGAAAGAGCTGCACGTGTCAAATGACCTAACAGTTGGACAGAATAAATACACATATCTGCCTTGGCTGTGCGATTTAATGTAATTTCATTCTGTGTTTAACACACACCAGCTCAGAAGGTAGCCCTGCCTTTTCACCCAGATTAAGGCTGATCTTCTTCCTGTGCAGATTTCAATAGAGTTCTGCTCCCGCAGAGGTGTAATGGCTGGCATTTTGGAAGAGATGAAAGAAAATCTACTGGCTTTGGCAATTTAATTTTGGCTTTAAGGGAAACTTGAAACCAAATTGCAGAGTTCACCCACTGTGAATTAACTACTATGTAATTCTCTGCACTGGTTGTTTGACTGTTGGTTATACAGAGGGAAGCCAAAAATTATTTATATTGCTATTTATCTATTTATATAATCTTGGCTATGGTTGCTTGAGGGAAGTAATTTAGCATTTCTATGAGGTCTTTAATACAGTGAAAGAAAAATTCTGCAGCACTAAATGGATCTCTGTCGCTGTAGAATGCATTGATTAGACTGTAGGATGACTGTGCACTGATTAAGAAAGAATTTAAGTGCCTATAAATAAATTCCTCCAAACTGATAGAGGGGCACTCTTTGCATCTTAATAATATTTAGTTAAGAATCCAGTGCCTGAAGGAATTGGAAAAAAGACAGACATTCAAGACCTTGAACCAAGGGGGAGGAAAACAAAACAGACGTTTTCCAAGCAGTAGCATTTTACTGTTAATTTTTTATCTAATTAACAAAGTTTGAATCTTACATGAGACAGCAGTGTATGTCCTAACATGTCCAGTGTGTGTGAGATGCCAAAAGCCAAGCTCTGGTGGGAAATGCCAAGGGCATCTCTCCTTACAATTAGCATCAGAATTAGAAGACCTGTGTTAGATCCTTAATAGGTATTTGCTACACAAGGGCTTGGCTAATTGGGGAAAATTAAATGGTAAACTCTGTGGGAATGCTCTTAGAAGAGCAGCACCTATGCAGGAATCACTCTATCCATTCAGCTGGTAAATCTCCAGGAACCCGCTAATGTCTCTTACTCTCAGTCACTTCAGGTGAGGGGAGTGAAGAAACTGCCCCATGAGGAGCGATATGCTGGTATATCTAGGAGCTGTTTGCCTCGTCTCATTAAAGTTTTACCTGTGTTAGTTACTACATGCTGGCTAGTGACTTTTAATTCATTTTTCCTTTCTAGTAAAGGTGAAGCATCAAAAATTTGTTGCTTCCTACTCTGTTAT